ACTCACAGTATCTTAAAGTAGAGATTTCAAGCTTTCATTTGAAAAAAAGTTTATTATTTTACGATGATTTTTCGCGGAGTTACCATTAATCAAAGTTGACCAATTTTTGCTCAAAATTTTTCTATGCCATAATTTTTTTGAGCAGTGTACATATATAAATACTTATATATAAAATACACATGATCAAAAATTTTACATTACTATGTTACAGAATGAAACAGCATCAATAAAATTTTCTGTACATTTGAAGAACAAAATTATAAAAACAACTTGTACATATAAAATGTTTTTATTGCTCAATATTTTAAGAAAGACAATATCAAATAAGCTATGTAAAATTAACTGAAATAAGAAAACGATACCAAAATTGTGTCTTATTTTAAGACCTCGTGAAAAAGGAAATTAACTAGTAATATAATTCCTTTAATTATTCTGCATATAAAAATAGTGGAATTATTGAAAAATCAATAGTTTACGAGATATTTTATACTTTATTCTGGCATCTATATAATGGAAAGAATAACCCCTTTGTACAAAGTATCATTAGCTCAGCGTTAGCGTACAAGTCTAATGTTCTAGGGATCCAGATTTGAATCTCGAATATTTCGATGTGTTTTCAAAAATTATAAATCTGCGTATAAATTGTAATTAATAATAATAATAAAACATGCAAAACAAATTAAACTCTACAAATAATAAATATGTAATTAATTATTTAAAAAAAAATTTTTTTGTTAAAATAATATATGGGGATGAGGTGCTCATTTGCTATACCACAGGATGTCCTTAGGACATCCCTGGATGAAAATAAGACCTTCTGAGGATGTCCTCAGTACCTGTCCTGGACGTCCTGTGGACGTCTTCAGGACTTCCTGAGGACACGATGAGGCGATCAATTGCTATACCACAGGACGTCCTTAGGACATCCCTAGATGAAAATAGGACATTCTGAGAACGTCCTCAAATCCCGTCCTGGACACCCTGGGAACGTCCTTAGAACGTCCTTGTGCTGGGTATTTTCATTTCTTAGACGTATTATTATATTTTATAAGGATTGATGCTCAATAGTACCACAAAGTTGGGTAAATAAGGAAAATGAGACATTTAAATGGCCTCTAAAAGAAACAAATATAAGAGCAGCAATAATGAAAAAGAGTAATCCAAGTAATAAATAGAAATCGCAAAAATATCAACGCATTATAGGACCATATAGTAAGTATAACAAAATTATTATGTTATAATGTATTTTAGTAGCTAATAAAGGCCGGCTCTAATCCACGGGGCTCCGTGGGGGTCCACGGGGCGAGGGGGTCCGCAGGGCGCGGGGAAGTCGCGGGGAGGGAAACTGCACAGACGATTCTCGGTCTAGCGTGATCGTAGGGAAGGAGGGAGCCGCTTCTACGGCAGGCCTAACTGTGGGTGCGGGATCCGCGGGGAAGAGGGATACCACGTCGTGGGTGCGGGTTCGCAGGGAAGAGGAATACCGCGTCGTTGGTGCCGGTGTCGCGGGGAAAAAGACCCCGCGTCCGTGATGCGGGGTCCGCGGGGAAGAGAGATACCGCACCGTGGGTGCGGGTGCGGGGTCCGCGGGGAAGTGTAATACCGCGTCGTCGGTGATGTCTGCGTCGCCGCCGCCGCGCTCGCTGTTACGTGCCGCACGTTATCGATGGTTCTTTTGAGTTCCTAAGCAGACCTTATGTTTGGGTCCTAACACAACCTAGCCTAGCCATAATAAACATAAATGCTTACACTTTCTGTATCTATTGTTTATTCTATATAAATGCTCCACCCGCGAGACTCTAAACGAAGGTCTCCCTTGAACGAACAGTTTAGTTCTATGTCGTCTCTCGTAGCGAATACACCTCGTCTTGTTATTGTCCAGAATAAAGTATTTTGTAAGTGAACGGTTGTCGATTTACTTCGATATTATATCTTACGTGGCTTCGCCTCGTAACATCGCGGGCCCGCCGTCCCACCCCGCGGTTTCTCCGTCCCAACCCGTGGTTATCGCTCGCGTTCTCTCCCTCCCGCAATTTTCGCGCGCGTTCTCTCACACGATATCACATGTAATTGAATGACGCGGGAAAAGGTAAAAGGAACGAAATAATTCAACATATGATGTATATATTTAATGCACATTTAGTTATGCAACGCATCGTACACAATATAATCTAATGTGTAAGCTAATAATTCACAATCAATAAGCGAAGTTTTATCATACATCTTACGCAAAATATTTATCGCATCGTCTTTATTCACAACACTATTTGGACGTAAATAAAGGATAAACTGCTTAAACTTTTCACTAACAGCATGTGTATTTTACTTAATTCAAAGCATACGTGCTCAATGCAATGTTCGAGTTCGAATATAAAAAGCATAGTTGACGGCTTCATATACATACAAGTATCATTCAGTGTAAATTTTACAATATTTTTCTTACAGTATTTTTACAAGTTCTACAACCAGATCTTGAATTGTTAGCGATGACGGAACGCTTGACTGCAAAAATCGTTCAATGTCCATACGTCTTTTGATGAACATCTTCCACATTCCGTAAGGCAAGATAATGTGATTGTCTCGGTTGTCACTGATAATTATTTCCACATATAACACAGGTCCTACGCTGATTCCAATATCCAGATATTTAAAAGCAGTCGGTGTTAGAGCAAATCTTCTTTCCAATATAGGAGGTAATTTCAAATTATGAGATGAAATACTGTAAAAGAATATAATTAAGTACAGATAAAATATAAATAATTTATTAAAACTTACGGTCTCTCGAACGCTTCTTCCATCATCGGAACGTAATAATTCATATCTAGTCTATCCACTCTATTACCACTTTGTCAAACTGTTCTTTCAAGTACGCCTATCAAAGTGCAACTGACAAAATCGCGATACCTCATACTTTTATCTAAACTCCCCTCCAACTCGCTGCGACAAAGTTTGATATAATTTTACGTAAGTCTAATATAAGATTTTTCGAGCACAATCATAATGTGTTTCAATGAGATCACATCATCGAACACATATTAAAAATGCAGTTCAGCATTTTGGTGAAGCATTGATGTACGACAACAACGACACAATAGATTTGCGTATTATAAGATTTTTTTCAAGGACAATTAAAATGTCTCGCGGTGAGATCATCGCATCGAATACGTGTTAAAAATGCAATTCAACAATTTGACCAAGCGCCGATGAACGGCGGCTATGACACAATAGATATGTGTAATATAATATAAGATTAATATAAGATATAATTATAAGATTTTTTCAATGACAATCAAAATACCTCGCGGTCACCTCTTCGAACACGTGTTAAAAATGCAATTCAACAATTTGACCAAGCGCCAATGTACGGCAGCTGCATGCAGCTTACATCGCGAAATCAAATGACATCTGCAACATTTGCGAAAAGTTAGCAACTCCCATTAGTTTCAGCATATATAATGCAAAGATTTTGATATACCTCGTCAATAGTGAGACTGGAAGCTACGAGTCGTACATGAAAATGTACATTGTATCAAATAATACCAAGTCCTATTTGCACAAAGTGAGAACTGCTGTAAAAAACATTGCAAAATACTGTATTTGTCAGTGTATTCGTGCCAAAGAGAATGGAGCAAACGATGTGAAATCTGGACGAGCAAGCCACCCGGCTGATTACGCAAGAAGATTTTATCGCGTGCGAACAGCGTGTCAACGAATTTATCGATTCGCTTGATAAACAGAATCGAAATCAACATCCGCGATTATCCGTGTGAGACAATCTATCATCGTTTGTATCGCACGACTCGAAAGTTTGAAAGATTCGGTGCGCAGACGGTTCGTGCATATGGGCACAGGATACGACGCGGGACTCAGATAGCGTGAAATAGACGCAGCTTTTGAAAGCCGTATACTGACCAGTGCAGTTATAAATTCTAGATACATTGAACCTTGATAGTTTCTGGAAGATGCGCGAGAAATTGTGCTCGAACATGTGCGGAATGTTATGCAGAGATATAATAACATCAAGATAAACACTGTATTCAACGGTGAATTCGGAACGGAACAAACGTGAGAATAAAAGTGTTATCACGAGAAATTGTGAACTCTATCTTTGTTCCGATTTACGCGTGTGGTACGATTTGCGTGTTGTTGAACCTACCTTAGTGTCGCTGGAAGAATTCCAAGAACATGAAAGCGGGTGGGCATTATCACGTATACTGAACTTGTTAGTTAATGTAAATACGTTTAAACCTTTGCACGCGGGGTGTCATATCCAGGTGTCATATCCACCGCGAAAAATTATGACAAAGAGAGCGGTCGTGAACGTGTGACCTATGGACAATGCATGTTTCGCGTGGTCAGTGGTGGCAGATCTATATCCAGCTAAATGTAACACAGACCTGGAATTCTCGTATCCGCATTATAAATCTGTGTTAAATCTCAAAGGCATTCAATTCTCCTGACTTTAAGTTGAATAAAAATATTTGAGAACCTCAACGCAATCCATCAATGTATATACCATCGAGAAGAAGGAACAAATATCGATCTTACCGATTCGTCTTGCTGATACGAAGAAGGAGAAGCACGTCAACTTACTGTATGTAGAGAAAGATGGTGTGGGACATTTCACATGGATCAAGAATTTGTCCCGCCTCGTGAGCTCGCAACTGAGCAAAAAGAAGAATAAGAAATACATTTGCGATAGATCTGTATACATGTAATAAAAATTTTTTTAAATCATTACGTAAATCTAATAAATTGATTATTCAGGTGTCTACATTATTTCAGTTCGAAAAGTTGGAAGTCCACACTGTAGACTGCAGGGAGATGAACGAATGCGCCGATCAGGTTACAGAGCGAAGATGACAAGTGGCTGAGTTTTAACAACTACAGCAGGAAGGAATGTGTTCCGTTTGTCGTGTACGCCGACCTGGAATGTATCCTGGAAAAAATAGAGAGAAATCCGGAAACACCGAACTACAAATATCAGCATCATTGAGTATTTAGCATAGGTAATTACGTGCACTGCGCGTACAACGATGTGTTATCAACGTATCAGTTTTGTCGCGATACAGATTGCGTTGCATAGTTCGCCGATGAACTCAGATGTTTAGCACACAGAGTAAAATCTATTCTATCCCAGTAATGTACCCATGGCTGATTTCACGCGAAACGATTGGGAAAGATTTTTACAACGCCACACACTGTCACGTGTGCGAGAAACCGTTCGCGCTTGACGACTCGCGGGTACGCGATCACTGCCATTTAACCGGGCGATACAGAGGTCCGGCGCATTCAAATTGCAACTTAAATTATCAAGATTCGCATTACATTCCCGTAGTTTTTCACAATTTGTCCGGCTACGATGCGCATTTTGTTATCAAGGAAATAGCTGCAGCATACAAGAGCCGTGTAGATCTACTTCCAATAACAAAAGAAAAATATATATTGTTTTCAAAATATGTTCAAAGCACCGAGGATAAAAAGGACAAAATATTTGTATAAAATTGCGATTCATCGATTCATATAAATTTCTCAGTTTCAGTCTCAACAAATTGGCGTCAAATCTCAGCAAAGAGAAACTGAGAATATTGCAACGCAAATACTGTAATTTGTCCGCAGAAAATTTCAATCTTCTTACAAGAAAAGGTGTATTTCCATACAGTATATTGACAGTGTCGAAAAATTGGACGATAAATGTTAACCGCCGCACGATTCGTTCTACAGTTCATTAACAAGTGACACGGTATTCGACAGCGATTACGCACACGCCTGCACGGTGTGGCGGCGATTGTCTATCCAAACGCTCGGCGAGTACAGCGATTTGAATTTGAAAACAGATGTCTTATTGTTGGCAGATATCTTTGAAAATTTTCGCGATAGTTGCGTCAGAAGTTATGTACTTGACCTTGCGTACTATTTTACTCTATTTTTATTTACGTGGGACGCGATGCTAAAACATACGAGAATCAATTTTAAATTGCTGACCGACATAGACATGGTCATGTTCGTCGAACGCGGTATACGCAGTGGTTTGAATCAATGTTTCGAGAGATATGCGCGGACCAACAAATACATGCAATCGTATGATCCGATCAAAACCGTCATTGTACTTAATGTATTTCGATGTAAACAATTTATACGGCTGGGCAATGTGTCAACCATTGCCGTACAGAGATTTTCAATGAATCAACGACGTTACAACAAATTTTAATGTTATGGATGTCGCGTTAGATTCCTTGATTGGCTATATTCTCGAGGTAGATTTAAAGTACCCGCAATATCTTCACGATGCGCACACTGACCTACCGATCTGTCTGACGCGTGATAAGCCGCCCGGCAAGCGGCAGGACAAGCTCCTCGCAACTGTATACGATAAGAAGCGTTACGTTATACATTATCGCACTCTGTAACAATGTAGTCGTCACGGCCTTCATATTGCAAAGATTCATTGCGTATTACAATTCGCGAAATCCCCATGGCTTCGTGATTATATCGAACTAAATACGAAATTTAGAACATTAGTCACGAACGAATTTGAAAAGAATTTGTACAAATTGATGAATAACGCGCGTATTTGGCAAAACCATGGAGAATGTACACAATCACGTCGATGTGCGGTTTTTAACGAAATGGGAAGGCAGATTTGATGCGGAGGCAATGATCGCGAAACCGAATTTTCACAGTCGTAGCGTCTCTTCGGAGAATTTGATCGCGATAGAAATGCGCAAACTCGAGGTGAAGTTCAACAAACCAACGTGGGTATGTGTATCCTCGACACATCCAAGACCTGTTTGTACGAATTTCACTACGATTACATGTTACCTTCTTTTCAAGAAAAGTGTAAAGTTATGTACACTGATACAAATAGTTTCATTTACCACATCAAATGTGACGATGTGTATGAAATCATGAAGCGCGACATTAATAGGAAATTTGATACGAGCGATTACGCGGTTCATAATGTGTATGGTATTCCGCTCGTGAATAAAAAGGCCTGATGAAGGATGAAAACAACGGCACAATCATGACCGAATTCGTCGAGCTAAGAGCAAAGATGTATGCCTTGCGCGTCGATGGTAAAAAAGATACAAAAAAGGTAAAAGGTGTCAAGAGTAATGTTGTAGCAAAGTCGATAACATTCAACGATTACGTGCGATATCTGCTGGACGAAATCGAAATGACGCGACAGCAATCTTGCATAAGATCAAAGTTGAACGATTTCCGAGACGAAGCTCGCTCTAAGTCCATACGATGATGAGCAATATGGTACATTGTGTCTGATTCTACCGATCATTCTATCATGGGGACATTATAAGATACCATTGTAAATAATAACTTTGTATTGCATATTTATGTTGTATACTTGTCTATTTGTAATAAACTCATACCGTATATTTGTAATAAACATAATATTTTATGCATATAAGGAAAAAAACAATTTTGTGATATAAATTTATTTTACAACACGTTATCCTTGCGTATCCATGAATTATGCGAATTGTCGAATCCCAACTATTTCACGTATATCTCATTACCTCTTTTGCGCAAAACTTTTTCAACGAGGTACACGTCGGGATTAGTAACGCGATGCAGTTCATATTCGTAGAATTCTCCGGCTATGGGTTTTCCACTGGAATCCTCTAACAAATACGTTACAGGATTAGTTTTCTGCATTTTGTTGATTTTAAACATTTCCGGTCCAATTTGGCGTGCAACCCTTCTGAAAAATTGTCTTGAATTTACTCACACGTACCGAGTCACCCACTTTGATTAGCGCGGGTGTGGCGATCTTTACATACACGGTTATACACCGTGGTTAAGAGTTTGTTGGCGATCGCGGGGGTGACGTCGATGGGTTGCATACCGATAGTTCGATGCTTTCGCGCGTTGTATTCTGACATGAGACGCGGTAGCAAATCGATCCATCTATAGTTTTTATTCTGTGTAAACCGCTTCCACATGCTGTTTTTCAACGTACGATTGAACCGCTCGACGACCGATGCCTTCATTACAAAATATGTAGAATAGTGATTGATATCATGTTTTTTTAAGAGATTCTGCACGTTAGCGTTATAAAATTTCTTTCCCCTATCGGTCTGTAAATGTTTTCGGCATCTTCCATCGTTTCGAATTATCTCGGCGATCGCTGTAGTCACTTCATTTCCGTTTTTGACCTTGAGAGGTATGACCCATGCATGCTTACTCAGCACATCGATAACAGTGAGAATGCAGTGATGACCTCTGTTGAATCGCGTATAAGAATGCATCTCGAACACATCCCCCTGCCACAGATCATCGTATCCGCAAATTATGACGCGTCTTTGTGGAAAATTTCTTCTCGCGGCAGCGTACAGTTCCTCGATCAGCTGCTGACATTCTCGTGACATTTCTTCTTAGACGTGTTCAAGTCTTTTCGATTCAGCGCGATGATGCGTTTCTTGAATTGACTTTCGAAGCTCATTAATCAGCATTTGCGTATTATTTTGAAGCACGGTAGTCCTCTCGATTTCGTCCTGTCGATCTTTCAAAACTTGCATCGTCTGTTGCACGAAACGTTTGTTGGCAATCGCTATCATCTACTGGCAGCGCTACACGTGGTATCTTGCGTGACTTTGCGTTAAAGTCGGTTGCAACTACACATAGAGTGTTATCGCGCACGTAATTTCTGAGTAGTCCGCTCAATTGGTAGTACAAACTTGTTCCACCTATTCCGAGCGACGTTCCAAACTTGTTGATCGGCATTTCGATATCGACTAATGATTCGTACTGCGTCGTCTAATTTATAATAATACCAACCTCGCGAAGTTCCTCGACAGCATCTCGTGCGCATTGTGACCAGCTCGACGCAAGGCCTCGAGCAATCGGAGGCAATCTACAAGCTTGTTGCGATCGTCCCAATGAATGTACTTAATCTTGCTATCGTTCACTGTCATGGTGCGTGGTATACCATTTCTAACTTTTTTTACCACTTTTTATAACTTTTGACAGCAGAAGTGCGATTATATTCTTATACTTGTGTTCCTTGTTACCCATTAATTAAACCCGCGCGCTGCGATCGCGTCTATACGTGTTTGTAGCTAATAGAATACTCTGATATTTCTGTAGGTCTTTGTCAGTGTAGGCAACTTTGTTAGGATAAAACATGAAAATCAATTCGTAAAGTTCAGGTATTTCTGCATAACTTTTCCCGTCTATGATTATATTATCGTTTCTATCCAAGGCGATACGTTTGTCGCCGAACTTCGTTCCGTCATCGCTAAAATAGACTCCGTAAACGTCGTCTATGTTGACCACTTTTTTTTACCGCTCAGGACAGTTCCCAGATATTTTTGTTTTAACTTTCAAACCGTACATGAGTGCGAATTCGCACCGCGAAAATTTTCAAATTGCTGGCATTTGCACAGAGACATCTGTCGCGGCTTATCCCCACTACGTTAAATATGCCCGGAACCTCAGGTGTCAGGTTCGAACATGCACAGCCTCAGTCTCTTGCAGATTGACGAGATATGAACTACGGAAGTTTGTTGTGGTGCACTTGTATGTAAAATAGTGTGTGCCAGATCGGTGCCTAGTTTTTTTCATTCGTAGACGCTATCCTCATTAAAAGTAAGTATTTTTTGTATACTAACTATCATTTATTAATTCTTTTGAAATTATAACATTATTTGTAAAAAAAACGTGATTTTTGACATAATATATATATAAAAATTGAATGAAAAGTAGCATATTACAAGAAATAAAAAAATAGAAAAAATTATAAAATGGTTATTATAAAAGAATGAAAAATATAACTTGTCATATATTTTTATAGAATGGCTGAAGGATCGGGACAAGAGACATATAATTTGCGTAGCGCAAAACATATTGTAGAATCGCTTGAAGAAAGCAATTCCGATGGTGAT